TTCAAAGGCAAGAGAAGGGTGCAGGAAACCGCCTTTATTTTAAAAAGGTGATTTTGATTGGTCAGGTTTGTTTGTTTATTTTTAATGTGTAGAATGACCCCTAAAGTGTGTGAGAACAAGGGCAAACACAGGCATTTCTTGCAAAATGTATTCTTTGCCGTTTTCAGATATAGAAAATGTGTTTCTGAAACTGCAGCTCACTGAGTGCAAAGGTTCCTCAGAACTGGGGAGGGAAAGGAAGGAGCAGACTCCTCCAGATAGGGACCAGACCCCCTCTGCCACCATCACCACCAGCAAGAAAATGCTTATTGGAGCCATGAAAATGTCCCTATTGTTGGAGATTTTTTTGTTGCGTTTCTTATTAAACCACAACTGAACGCAAGAGAAACATTCCAATCTGCAAGCAAATAACTGAGCTGTGGAGAATGCAGAGGAGGATGGAGTCCACAGATCCCAGGCCATTCTATAAGACCACCATGTCAGGCTTCTGCTAGACAGAAAATACTTTTTAAAAATACATGTGGAATAATAATAAAAAAGACTAAGGCGAGAGGTAGGGAGCTAAGGAGGAAGGGGTGGGAGAGTGGACAAGAAAGGGAACAGTGTATTAAGGAAGCAGACTGGAACCATGCCCTCATGTGTGAGTTGCAACTGCCGAGCTAAACAATATTTTATTTTTCATGCATCTAGATTAGCTTTAGTGTTGGCACCATTAGATTCTATTTTCCAAGGGACTTACTTTCCTTTCCTGTGTATTGACCTTCAAGTGATCAGTGCAGGCAAACAGAAGAGAAAGATGATCTATTTTTGCTAGGTTTTTCCTTTTCACTTTTCAAGATAAGCTAATTCAACCATTCAGAATGTAGTGCTTGTAGGGATAGTTACGTTCATCCCAATATATGCTGGCTGGTGGGATTTAACTGTGCCAGGTATGTTCGGTAGTAAATATTTCCCAAACACTGCCTTCATGGAAGTGACCAGGGTGCTTCTACTGTGCAATGTGTAGTTTCCACTCTGGTCAAGAGCTTGGAGCCAAATGGGGTTTTGCCAGACAAAACAGAAACAACTGTGGTGATGGCTGTTACAGCAGTGAGCACTTTACCACATCTGGGCTGCTGAAATGAGGAACCCTGCACACCCTTGGTGGTTACCACCAAGACAATTAAGTATCTCTGAGAAAGTCTCTTTATTGTGCTTTTGGTTAAAAACGTGCCACCCCTTAGAAACATGTCAGCTTCGATGATCACAGATATTTCTCAGCTAGTCCTTGAAAGAAAATGGTACTTGCTGAGGTTACTTCTTTATTATTTGGAGGAATTTTTTTTTTTTTTTGGAACTTCAGGCCTCTCATACAACCCTGATTAGATTCATGTAAAATCCTAATGTGAATTTCAGCCCTTATGTCTGGGTGGTGTTGATTATTTTTAACTACTGCAAGGAAATCAGCCCCCAAATAATTAACTGGTCAAATGGCTGATAAAGTGTTATCCCTTTAAAATCATATGCCTCATGGCCATCGAGAAAAGCCCTCAAATGCCACCATGAGACACTCTGAAATTCTGCCATTCCCCTGTTGGCTTCAGATAGGGAACGGTCTGGGGACTCTGGCTCTAAAGAACAAAGGACAAATACAGTCAATACATTCCATAACGTTTACATTTCCTTTGCCTTTTCCCCTTGGTTTTTCCTGAGAAGGAGTGACCTGGGCAAAGCACCCTGCTCTCTAAAAGACACTGTATAGACCTTTTAGAAGCGCAAAGTCCAAGGCCGAGGTGAACTTCAGGTCAGCGCGTCTAACAAATATGAAAATGTCGGCTGGTGAAGGGCGCGCCTTGTGATTTAACAAAGACTGTCAATGTGTAAGATTAATAAGAAACAAAATGCACACGGTGTCACTGTTCGGTCACTTTGAAACTTGGGACAGGGTTGCATTCAAGAGGGAAGGCTGTTCCAAATATATTCAAAATGATTCAAATCAGATTCAAACCAAGCTGCACACACTGCCTCCCTCTCTGCCCTCCCTCTCTCGGACTGCTTTCGCTCTCCTTCTCCATCTGGGATGTGAAGACATGATGAAAAGTTACTTCACTTAATGGGATTTTAAGAAAGCTTTTGTTGGGCATATATGTTATCCCTGCTCGTGGAATTGAGCAAATGTGCTTACCAGTTTCCCAAGAAAGGAGAACGCTTCACCCCGCTTAGGACTGGAGCCAGTTGGTGTGCGAAGATTAGCACGCTCCCTTTCTGCTCCACTTCAGGGCACCCCGTGTTTTCCCGGGTGAGATGATGCTGGTAAACTTCAGGTTTTTTGTTGTTGTTATTGTTGTGTGTTTTTTTTTTTTTAATTGAGTTAGCTTCTTCCTGGCTTTACTTTGGTGTCTTGAATTTTATATAACTGCAAGAGGTATTTCTTTTTTTTTTTTTAATGTTTTTAAAGAGATTATTTGATTCAGTGGAATGATGCTATGGCTTGCAAAGGGAGATTGTGGAAGGTTCAGAAAAGGTACTGAGATTGTTTATTACAGCCATAAATCTTGCAGTAAAATGTCAAAATGTCGGTGTGTGAGATAACACTTGGTGGTCCTGGCTCCGTTTGTGTTTATGATACGAACCGCAAAGACAAGTTACAGGCCTTGGGGGATTCTGTGTAAGCCCATCTTCCTAAAGTAATAGAACCTCACGAAACACAGGCACAGTTCACTCGTTTGGGTTAACCATATACAAAACAGTGTCCGTGTCTCCTTAATACTTAAAAATAGAAACTCCCTAGAAGGTTCTGAGGCTAAACAGCATGGATTTTGTGTTTTAGTGTCCTCAGATAATATTACACAGACCCTAGTGCTCAAGGCGATGACACAAGGAGGAGGGCAAGGTTTCCTTGCCACCCCCCCACCACCAAGCTTACAGTTTAGATTTGTAATACATGGTACCCTTGTATGTTATTTATACTATATAGTACAATCTACGTATAAATTATTTTTCTTGCTGGGGAGAGAGATTGGTTTAGGCAGCTTTATCACAGGCTAGGTTTTTCCCTGTGTCTAGAGAGGATGTCTAAAGATTACACTCACCGTGGATTTCTGTCTGTGGCTCAGATTTCATTGAAAACAAAAAATTTTCAGGGTGCCTTGTGTCAGCGGACAGCACTCCTCTCACACACACACACACCCACTGTGGAAAACCTCTTTGTACCACTTCAGGGTGATTCCAGCTAGAAAGCTAACATGATCCCTTTTTTAACCTCTTTTCCTATATTAGTTTAAAGATTAGACCCATATAATAGGCTTTATGTGGCTAAGCATTAAATGACTATCCATCAAATGGATATATTCCAGCATTTAGTAACTCATATGAGTAACCGATATAAATGAAGATAGGATTGACATGCTTTTTGAAGTGTCTCCAGGCTTAGGCTATAACTTTCCTTGACTGCTCTCCAGACTCAGTTGTGAGAAGGCTGTTTATACTGCTCTTTAAAAAAATCAACTACGGTGAACCAGCTGAAAAATCCCTGGTTTGCATGCCAGTATGAAAGTGTTTTTAGAATGGTGACTATGCTAGTTCCAACTGCTTTCCTCCAGGCTGAAAACTAAAGGATGTAGGTGTGTCTGCTACGCAGGGGGGGGGGGGGGAAGTACACAGTACAGAAGTATTTACTTCAAAGATCAACATTAGGCGAGATTAATAAGTAATGTATTTGTTAATAATGGTGTAATTAGTTTACCTATCAAATTTCAATTACCAAATGGCAGGCAAGGGTCCCCTCTTTTCCAGAGCTACTGATACCGTTTATATGCTAATTTTCAGCAATTCAGGAATTATAGACTGTGCTGTAAACGTAACTCTAGCCTTAGCTACAAAGGCGTCCAAAAGGGAAAACAAAATTCTTAGCTGGAGAAGTGTCATCCGCCATTGGCGATCGGCCCGGGCTAGGGGCTTATCCTACCCTCAGCTTGTTTCTGCTTGGGAATTGCTCTGAAGTGGGAACTTAGGGGTTCGCAGCTCGGGTCTTGTGGTGGCGTCGCTCGCTTCCATCCGCATTCTGCATTCTCGGACCACGTCTCTCTCACTCTCCCCCAGTAAACACCCGCATAGGTAGCGTTCTCATCGACACCTCCACACCTCCGTCAAATTAGGCGCTACCAGGAAGGCTCCGGATTTGTCTGACTAAACAGACGCTGTCTCTAAAAGGCAACAGCGCGACGCGGCCATGCAGTCACATTGGAACAGCCTCGCGGTGCATCCCTCTGTCGGTTTCTCCAAGCTCCCCTGCCACCCGACCTGGGCGGGTCGCATTAGGCTTTTCCAAGCTGGCACAGGCAGCGAGCAGGGGACAGGGAGAGGGCTCAGCTGGTGAGAAAACGGGTCCGCAGGCCTCATTCGTTTTATTCCGGGACCAGGATAACTGCCAGGGTGCCTTCTGGTTCCAAAGCCCTTCCCTCCCCGAGGCGGACTCGAACCCTCAGGACGGGAGGCCTGGCTGGATACGGCCCGGGATCAGCACTGGGCTTGCCGCCCGGGAGCCTTGCAGCCTAGGCCCGAAACAGCCCAGGCCTAGAGCCCGGAGAGGACCGACAGCCCGACAGGCCCCCGAATTTCCAGTGGGAATAAAGTTGGGGGGCTAGGGGACCACAGCACCCGCTCCCTCCCCCCACCTCGGGGCCGGACAGTCGCATCCATCACCCACCCGCGCGTTTCCTGATCCGGGTCCGCGCGCGCGGCGCGCCCATTGGCGGGGGCGTTGCACGTGGGCCTCGGGGCGGGGCTCGCGCGGGGCCGAGGCAGAACGCGCGCGCCCCCTGCCCCGGGGGGCGAACGGCCCCAACCTTTGGGGAAGGCGCCGGCGGGGGGGGGAAGGGGGTGGCCCTTTGAACAGCGGGGGGAGGGGAAGGGCGCCGGGGAAAGGGGGATGGGAAGCAAGGAGAGAGGGGGAGGGGCCTCGGCGAGCCCAGAAAAACGACAACGCGAGAAAAATTAGTATTTTTGCACTTCACAAATTAATGACCATGAGCTCGTTTTTGATAAACTCCAACTACATCGAGCCCAAGTTCCCTCCCTTCGAGGAGTACGCGCAGCACAGCGGCCCGGGCGGCGGAGACGGCGGCCCGGGCGGGGGCCCGGGTTACCAGCAGCCCCCGGCGCCCGCGAGCCAGCACCTGCCGCCGCAGCAGCCCCCGCTCCCTCACGCGGGCGGCAGCCGCGAGCCCCCCGCCACCTACTACGCGCCGCGGGCCACCCGCGAGCCCGCCTACCCCGCGGCCGCGCTCTACCCCGCGCACGGTGCCGCGGACACCGCCTACCCCTATGGCTACCGCGGCGGCGCCAGCCCCGGGCGGCCGCCTCAGCCAGAGCAGCCCCCGGCGCACGCCAAGGGCCCCGCGCACGGCCTGCACGCGAGCCACGTCCTGCAGCCTGGCCGGCAGCAGCCGCCGCCGCCGCCGCCTGCACCGCAGCACCGCGCGGCGCCCCCCGCACCCCCTCGGCGCTGCGAGGCCGCCCCTGCCACCCCGGGCGTCCCGGCAGGGGGCAGCGCCCCCGCGTGCCCGCTGCTCTTGGCCGACAAGAGCCCGCCGGGCCTGAAGGGCAAGGAGCCCGTGGTGTACCCCTGGATGAAGAAGATCCATGTCAGCGCCGGTACGTGGCGCCGCCGGGGAGGCGCGCGAGGGTGGGCTGGGGCCGGGCCGGGGGGTCAGCGGGGAGAGGCCCTGGGGAAGGGGGTCTTCGGGAGGGGAGCCCCCGTCCGGCCCGGACTGCGGTGGGCTGTGGGTGTGTGCTGTGCGCGCCAGCCAGCCGCCTGCTCCCAACATGAGAACCCTTTTGTACCCAGGGTCCCTTTATCGGGAGATTTACGAGACGCCAAACTGTTAGGGCAGTAATTATAGCCCCCATAAATTTAATTGCCCTGGCAGAGGCTTCAGGCCCTGTGTCTTTGAAGCTTTTCTTCAGCCCCAGTGCCCAGCGCCGTTCTTTATGGCTCTCGGGTGTTTCCCGTTGCCAATAGCCTGTGAAACATTTTCTTTGCCGTTTTTATGTATCTTGCGTGAACTTGGTGTCAGGTTATTCTATAATGATGATGTCCAATTGCTCTTCCCCACCCCGTCTTCTCTCTCCCCCTGCTCCTCTCTTCTCCCTCTCCTCCACTGCCTTCTCCCTGGTCTTCTGCGGGGTTCAGTCAACCCCAGTTATAACGGAGGGGAGCCCAAGCGCTCTCGAACCGCCTACACCCGGCAGCAGGTCTTGGAGCTGGAGAAGGAGTTCCACTTCAACCGCTACCTGACCCGGCGACGCCGCATTGAGATCGCCCACGCACTCTGCTTGTCCGAGCGCCAGGTCAAGATCTGGTTTCAGAACCGGAGGATGAAGTGGAAGAAAGATCACAAACTGCCCAACACCAAGATGCGGTCCACAAACTCGGCCTCCACCGGCCAGCCCGGAAAAGCACAAACTCAGAGCCCACACCCCCACTCCCACCCAGTCCCGGGTGCCTCCACACCCATTCCGTCCACCATATAATTCATTAGGGACCCACATCAGTTTCTCTCCCTTGCTATCCTCTCTCCCGCCTGGTTCCCCATCCACCCCTTCCCACTTGGACCATAAGACACCAAAACAAAGGCCAAGCTTGGTGAGAAGCTAACCAAAAAGAAGACCTTATCCTCAGAAGTGTGTGCTGGTTGCCATCCAAGAGAGAACAGTCGTACACAAGCTGGATGGGGGGACAGCCTGCTTGCTGCTCTGAGCCGGGCTGCCAGGTGTGGACACCTGAGAAGGGCCACTTGGCATCAGATAGATACTTTGGAGATGACTGAAGTCAGTGGGACAGCCCCTGCTGACCTGCAGACCACCGGATGCGGATGCCTACTTGTGTATTTGTGGCAAGCAGGAGAAAACAGACCCTCTCCCTACCTTCCTCACTTCCACCTCCTCTATTAAGGCAGCTCATGCAAGCTTGTGTTGAACTGAAATAAATGAGTAGACATTGTGGACCTCACAAGATTATTTAATTCTCAGAATGTGTAGACTTTGATGGTAGGCGTGACATGTTAGTTTCCTGTCCTTGCATTTATTTAAGATATTGTTACAGAGCTGTTGTCTTATTCTGGGGCACGGACTCCAGGGGCAGAGGGAAGTGCATTTAGACCCGTGTGCAACTGTATGAATTGTGATGTGGCTGTATAGAAAGCCATGTGCTGAGAATAAACTCCATTTAAAAAAACATTAAAAATCTGAGACAGATTTGTGTTTCTTAAGCTTTTCATTAAAAAAAATTCTCTCTGGATTGAGATATGTGACCTTCCATGTTCAGACCTTGTAGGTGGCTGGAGTGGTGTTCACTTGTATTCTGACTGCTTCCATAATTTGTGAGTGTGTGTGTGTGTGTGTGTGTGTGTGCATGGGCACACGTGTGTGCGCAACTTGCACTGAGCTCCTGTCAAGCTTGACCCACCGTGGAAAGGTTCCAAAGAGCAGGAAGGCTCTTGAGCTCTGAGAGGGCTCCTCTTCTTCCCAAACTTGGCCAGGCTTGCAGTCTCTGTGAGGCATAGAAACGTGTCCTTCTCTGCAATGAAAGGTGAAACCATGCAGTGCAGCGGGCCCAGGAGCTTCTGCAGCTGTTCTACACACTGAACTCTGAGCACACTTGGAAAGAAGAGGTCCCTTTGGCATTTATTGCACCTTCACACTTAATTTGCTGTTTCCCAGGAGATAAAAAATAGTTTGTGCAAAGGGTTGAGATTGATTTTCATTTCTTGGCTGTTCTTAAGTTCTTCTTCACTAACTGTAGCTTGGAAATTTTTAGTTTGCTTGCTTTTCTCTCTCTCTCTCTCTCTCTCTCTCTCTCTGAAAAGAGATATTTCAAAATAAATTGAATTTTCCCAATATACCCTCCAAAAGTTCTTCAGGGGTGGGGAAGAAAAAGCATAATGACACCCCAAAGTGAACCCCAAACAAAATGGACATGGTAGAGTTCACTGCTGGAAGAATGCCAAACCCTGAGCCAGAGGCACTTCTCTGAGATGCTTAGGGATCTAGATTCCCAGAGATCTAGATACAAAAGGTTAAAATCAAAACCCACTTCCCAATCTCTGTAAGTCTCTAATATTTGTTTACTGATTTAGACGTGGTGCTTACTACAAGGGAGCACTGTGTAACAAAACACAGAACACCAAAGCACACTGGCCCCAGAATGTCAGAACTGTCACCTGGCCTTGAAAAAGTGGTTTTCAGGTCGTGTAATTTTAGCAGAGATGGGAAGGAATGCTTACATATCTACAACTTCAGGGGAATCTTCAACATGTTCTTCTGTCAGTGGCAAACCTTTAGCCAGTGTCGCTGCTGGTACCACTTTCACTCCTGCTGCCCCAGTGTGTGCTACAAGCAAGAGCAATCTCTTCTGCACCTATGAATAACCAGATGTGGGAAGAAAGAAAAAGAAAATCTAAGGGCAAACAGATACACACAAGCCCTCCCAAGTCAGGGCAAACGTGGCATAAAATGCATTTTATAAGGTGAGAACGAGCGCCAGGGATTTCTGGAGGCACTGTGATCCCTGCTGAAACTTATAAACCCTCCCCCTGCTACACACACTTGTAAAACGAAATTAAATCACGCTGAAAATAGCAATTTTCCCAGGAATCATTAATCACCTCATACAATAAATACTTCTTTGTAATTCAACAGCAATTCTGAAAGGCATTCTCTGGGAAAAGTCTGTGGACGAGAGAGGACTCTCCTTGCAAACACTGTGGTCTCAGGCAAAGACACAGCATCTTGGCTGTCTGCTCAAAAAAAAAAAAAAAATGCCTGGACCCTCGGTGGAAACTCAGTGTCAAGCTGCAAAACCTCAGATGGCAGATTATCAGCGTTTAAGGTAAATTCTTCCATTTCTCCTTTGTGGGGGAGGAGGAGTGGGCATTCATTAGCTTCACCCTGGAGGCAGTTGTATGGGGTGACAGGACTGATTTTCTTTCACTTGCTCTTATCCGCTATCCAGGAAGGGAAGAGAGGATCGTTTCTCCAGTATTCCAGGACAAAATCGCATTTTTGTGCAAGCTGTATTGGTTATTAAGGCTACGGTGGGTTTTACAAAACCAGAATCAGCCAAAATGATCCAAATGAGCATGTCATCTCTTTGCAGTGTTCTGCCTGTTTCAGATTTGGCCCTTAAGAGGGCTGTTTTAAGAGCTTAGAAAATCCTACTTTGTGCTACAAAATCAGGCATTGTCTGCCCTTTGCTAGGGCAACCATAAGAGTTCACCGAGAGGACAAATTTTCTATCTCATTAATTGTTTTTTTTTTTTTAAAGCACACCCCACTAGCCCCTCAAACCCTTGACCTTTAAAGACAGTATTTTTGTAAGCTCTATAATTCTCCTACCGAAGTGACCCTCCCCAGGCTCTCCTCTCCTCCTGCTCTTCCTCCCTCCCTCCCTGCAATACACACTCATCTGCTTTAGTCACAGAGCCAAGCTGTGCATGACTCCAGAGATAAAAGTTTTGTCAACATCTGAAATCAACCTAAATCGGATAGGAGACACTTTAATGGTCACAGTTTGAATTAAGTACTTAACACTCTCCCCCTTGAAGAAAAATGGCACTTTGCAGGCTTTCTTCCCTAGTTTTGCTGAAATCTACGATATACCCGGTGTTTTATTACAGCAGGAATTCAACTGTGACAGGCATAGTAGAGTACTTAATACCCAGGATGGAGCTCATGGGAAGATTACTTAGATAGATGGGGGCGGGCCCTCCGCACAGCCTCTCTGCCTCTATAGCCAGCTATCCTGGGGTGCTTCACTCCCTCTACCTCTTTCCCTGCTCCCCAGGGGGTGGGCACCACCTTTCCTTCTCAGTCCCCCAGTTCCCCCAAAACTTCCAAACTGTGCTGCTTATCTCACTGCTGTCTCTCTGGCAGTCCCAGTAACTGTTTAGAGTGGAAGGAAGGAAAGGAGCCCCCGACACACCCCAAATCAATATAGCGACAGAAACCTAGTGCTTCCCACGTGAATGCGGATGTTCTGTTTAGGCAGTAGGCCATTCTCGCACTACCTTAGTTTCTGCAGCCCAAGGCACAGTTCTGTATTGAAGAAGACAGACTCACCGTTCCCAGCTGCTGGTCCTGTTGCCTTTTCCATACTATAGAGTGGCCCAAGGATAACCCAGCTTCACACTGGAAGAACATGGGCTGGAAACAATAGGAGGAGGAGGGGTGTGGGGTGCATCTTGACAGCATCAGGATGCTGCTGGGGGTACTGTGACACCTCTGGCCTGTATCTCCTGACTTGGAATCTAGCATCTCTTCTTCTGAAGGCACTGAACTCAGGAAGCTGTCCCTTCAGGACAGCCCCTCTCTGGGGGCAATTCCTGGGGCTGAGAGTCCCAGATTCAAAGACTGGCCAGTTGGAAAGAGATCTCGGGTCCTTCGCTTCCAGCTTCTCTGTTACAGGTGAAATTGAGGAAGCCCAGTGAGCCACCTCCCAATGTGTCTCAGGTTCCTGAGCATGCAAGTTGAACAGAGCGCTTTGGTCTTACCCTGGCTTACACTGGACATGTGCAGCAGGGAAGAAGGGAGGGTTCTTGCCTGATGTACCATCAAAGCTGCAGAGGAAAATGATACTACCAGACCCTTAATCCTTGCATGGAGACAGGTGGGCTGACCACTGTGCCCGGGGGGAGGGGCGTCTCAGCGCCTGGGAGAACAGTGGGCCCCTCCCTGTCCAGGGTGCTCCTGGTCCCAGGATGTCTAATTCTGCTCCGTTCACCCTAGTGGCTCAATGACATGGCTTGCCCTGGACCCAGCACAAGGGCTGACTAGGTGGGGAGGCCTAAGGAACAGAAGAGCCAAACAAGGGCCCTGGTTGCAGCTGATAAAGGTTTAGCCTGTTGGAAGGAGATATTGAAATTGTAATCTTTGAGGTCACGTGACTCATTAAATAATTAATGCAGCTCATCAGGAATGGATGGGAGTCGCTGGGCCTCACTAGGGTTGAATCTCTCATAAGTGAGACTTCAACTTCCTATTTGATTTTTCACAAACACACATCCTCAGATTTATTTCCAAGAGCCTTTAACTCCTTGGGAAGGGAGGAGCGTCCCCTTTGGCCGGCCGGGAGGACGCGAGCGGGGACGGACCCTGGTGGGGTCCTAAGGCTTTTCTGGCAGTGCGGGGAGTGCGCCGCGTCGTCGTTGTCGTCGTCGTCGGGGGAAACGTGAGTCGGGGCTCGGGCAGTCTGCGGTCACCTCTCGCCCTGCTGATGAAGCGGGACGGATGCGCAGGCAGTTGGTAATGTTCTCATTCACGCTGGGGAAGGCTGCAGCGATACCGCCGGACACGGGCGCGCGGCTTTGTTCAATTTTCCCGGCGTTCATAAATCACCCACGCAGAGCGAGCGAGGGAGCGAGCCACCGCCAAAGGCGCGCAGAGAGAGGCCGCGGAGGCGGCCATTGCGGGCCAGGAGACCTGGGCAACATCTCTTTGACTCATTAGTCTGAAGGATTTATGAGGAGCAGCAGTCA